AATTTAGTTTTATTTTAAAACTATATATCGAAGTGATTACATAATTGAGTACTGAAGATTGAGAGCATATAATGATGCACTTGCTCTTGTCACTCCTTTCCCTCCTACCTCCACCATCTCCCCAATCCTCTTCCCCCAACACTATGTTGTTGCTCTTGTTCTCTCTAGCCCAGTCCTCTGCCTACAAGTGTCCTGCCAGTGGGCACTCTGCCTGCTTCAACATAGGCAATAAACATCACTGTACTTGTCTCTCCAATCTGCTGCTGCAATGCCTGCACTGAGCCTCAGATCCTGCAATGATGCTACTAAGCTGACTACACCGTCCTTCATTGTAAAGTGTAAGCAGCCAGTCCACTTCATAATAACTTGCACAATAGTTGCTCATCCCTCTCCTCCCAACTTTTTGTCTCCCTTCCACCCCTCCCACTCCTTGCTCTGCCACTTGCATTGCCTCTCCTTCATTGTCCTCCTTTGTTTACACTCACCTTCCTTTTTGCATTTGCATTTGCACATCCACATTGTTGACCAATGCTGAACGACTTCTTCAATGTTTCCATACATTTGCATACTTCCCACTCTGTAGTGCAAGCAACAGTCGACAAGCACATGCTTGCAACAATACCAACATACAACCATTCCCATGGTACAACCCTCTCTTTGACACTGTACACACTCTCCTTCCCTACCCATTCCATGCTTAACATCACTCTCTACAGGTCCACCCCACATACATTTACATTCCCTAGTGCAGCAGACAACACTATATTGAATGGAAGCAGTGGACTGCCACTTACCCCTCTTGAGCTGAGTCTGTCCATACGTTCCACTTCACCTTCTCTGTTCGAGCTGGTACGTCCCAGAGATACACCTTTGCAATCCACAAAAACGACTCAGTTCACTACTCCTCCAATTGCACGTCAGTCAGAATATAATCATATGCATACTGATACAGCTTTGTCTGCAGCCTGAATCAACTCGTTCAACACTCCGGATCTCAACCTGTATGCACCACTCACACTTGCTGCACGCTGTCATGGTACGTCCACCTTTTATCTCCTATTGTCACTTGCTAACTACTCTAAACCTGTCTAACAGGCACAGCCTCAACCTCCACAACCTACTCGACCTCATCCTACACACACACGCAATTTGACTTACAGGTCCCGAGTGACGACCAAACGTAGTGACAAAGACTACATTAAACGGCCCAACAATGTGTTCATCCTTTTCTGACACGAATTCTACTCACGAAAGAACAAGGCAGAGGCTGCTGGTGGTGCAGGGGTTAGGACTGTAGAAATAATGTATCATTTATTATTTTGTATTAAATAATTAAATATAATTATATTTTATTAATTATTTGATAAAAAATTGTATCCAAAGCAAAAGGAAGCGATTCAAACGCTTGTAATGACTTATAAGCATTATAAGCAGATATTATACTTTCTCAAATAAATAAGTATGTCTTAGTCTTGTAAACTTAGAAAGTGTTATAATCACTTTTATAACTTGACAATTTATAAAATTATAATGGAAATTGCCAAGTTTTAAAAGTATTCTTACTTACTTATCTAACATTGTACTGTCATTACTTAACCCCCCAGGAAGATTATAAGTAATTGGACAAATTTTATAAAATATAAAAAATATACAAGATTACAAGCAAGTATAATACTTAAGACTTTTTCATGATGAAAGATTGGCACTGTAAGTGATATCTGAAGAAATAGATTTTTTTCATCTTTGCAACGAACGATTCCTTACGTCATCGTAATCACAGCCCTTTGCATGACATAATCAGAGAAGTACCGTTGCATTCGACAGTTGGTCTAGGAGCAGTTCAGCCTCTGAAAACAACACTAACACACTAGCTCGGTATCAAATACAAATGGAGTGACTTTTCACATTGCATTTAGAGAGCTAGCAGCAAGTCTAGCACCACAAACTAATATAGGACTATCTCTCAACTTTTGCAAAGGTTAATATTGTTTACTCGTTATAGCTGGCTTCAATTGAAGACGAGTAATATATTGCGGCTCTGGTCAAGCACAATACAGTACCTCTATCATTTGGAGCAGGTAGCAATGTGTACTTGATTGAACATGTGCTGGAATGCGGGCAAGTATAACGCATTGTACGTACTTGGGCAGTAGGTTAGACGAATCTTGCTCAGAGAAGACCAAATCAACACTTGAAATCATTTAAAAGTGTAGCGAACATCGATTACTGTCCATTGTCCACGACGAAAAGAAGTTACAAATTTTGCGAATATGCGTATATGCGAGACATCAAAGTTGAAAAGCGAGTACACGTTGCAATCTGATACGTCCATCACGTATTAAGAAGAAAACATCGGTCAGAAGCTGTCCATTAATGCCCGAAAGAGTCCAATTTAAATCGAACGAAAAAGTTCAACATTAAGTCCATGACGTCATCCCTTCCCTATTTACATAGCATGTTGTCAGTTTGGTTTTGCGTGCAATTAATACGCAGAATCCAGTCCAACCTTCAAAGTCCACAAGCACTTGCGTTCAACTGTAGCGCAGTTGCTTGGACAACACCAACTTGTTCTGCCTGTCCATTCGTCAAATTGTTCATAGCGATCTCGCCAATGTTAAATCCGCTTCCCGCGAAATCGATCGCAGTCACGACGATGCTTGTACCGTTAAAGGTAATATTCCAGCATGAGCCGCAGTTTGCTGAGTTGAACCCTGCGATGGCAGATGCACCTCCAATGAAGGGGAAGGTCGGTAGCGAGCCGAACGTGGTGAAGTTGCGTGTGAGGAGACCGTTTGAACCAGTCGAGCATTCGACAGTAGCGAGTGACTGGTTTGCGTTGTCGTAGACGGGGTCAAAGGTGACTTGGTCCGCAAGAGCACCAAGAGTGAAAAGAGAGACAATAGCAGAGAGAGTGGCGAGCTTCATGATTATTTTGACGGGAGTACGAATACTATGGAGAGGTTTTCTTGCGTACGACTTCTCTGAAGAGCAAGAGCCTTGACCTCGAGACTATTTTATACTGAATACCAGCAAGCCAGAAGCATCATCAATCATTAGGAAGCACAGAGTAGCACATGTAACATATTGACATATGTCGGCAGAAGATCATGTATGTTATTTCCGACTGGCTCGTGGTGGTTCGCTGTTGAGTCGCGTCGCGCTAAACGTGTCACGCGTCCGTCCAAGTGATCTGCCTCTCAGATTCTCTGCCTCTGACCATCATCACAGAACCGCAGGAAACACATTCTAAACCTTGAGAACACACACCTCCCATTTCGCTTGGCTTGCTATTTCCGCTCTGTTCTGCATTGTTCTGTTCTAGCCGTGTCGACGTGGCAAGTCAATAATGGACCCATTCGAAGTCAGGATGCATTTCCTCTCCCTCCTACGGAGGCTCAACGCGTCAGTAATAACCCCTATATACGTTTTGTGTCTTCTAACGATCATTGCGAATCGTACTGATGATGATGTGTTGAATGGATGGACTGACCACATGTCGCGCAGTGCAGCTCTCAACAGTCTATCCAAAAAGTAGTTGCATATGCACTCAAATATTTCTCCCGATGCGGTGAGGATCTCTGGGACTGTGTTGTTGAAGAATGTCAGAAGGTATTTTATTTCTACTTTCTTCCCGACTCATGAACAGGATACTGATGAACAGTTTTATAGGGCTCGCTGAATACTCGAATAAATATTCTTTATTTACTCGACTCTTTGTGCGAGACATCTCTTCTCAGCAAAGCGTCGTTCGGTCCATCAAATTATAACAACAATCTCTATGTCGATTTCGTGGCACGCGATCTCGCGATGATCGTTGACTATGTTGTTCCTCAGAGCAGAGAGGGGCTAATTAACCTTATGAGCGCTGTCCAGGTAAGGATTATTGCAATTTATTTCGCGTTTTTTTTCGGAGTTCACCTAAATATCTGATATGCCTTGCTCATACTTTTTGATGTCGCCATAACTATCTTGGAACAAGCAACTTACGAACTGAACTTACTGCCTTAGATTCTGGAAAATTGGCGTAACAAGCGCATAATAGATCCACAAAAAATCGACGATGTGCTTGCCAAGCTTGAATCGCAAAAGGCGGGCATGCATGCTGCAGCTATGGTCTCGGATGTACAGGTCGCGTCTGATGCTGAGAGAGAATCCTTGACATTTTCGCGACCGGAAGTCTTCAAGCGCATTGAGGAAGATCGTGAGCGACACAAACGCTTACGAGAGCGTCGATGGGTCCAGCCTGTCTCGCATATGCAGGCAATGCCGCTGTTAGCGTCGTTCGCACCATTACCCCCCGATCAATCTCCTGGCGCTGTCCCCGCTTCTTCAATTACTCAAACCGATACTGTGGCGGGGTCTGCCCTTACCTCAGCTTCTACGAGTGATCCCCGAACAAATCCAAGTTCGAAAGCGAGCACGATTGACCCCCCACTCCCTCTCGACATCGAATTCGACAACGAATGGGAGACGACGAGTGATTGGAACGAAGATGACGAAGAAGCGATTGCAGAGGAGAACGCGTTGTGTTATCCGAACGCTGCGACGCGACTAGGTGGGAATGCTGAAATCCCCGCTTCTCTTGTATCCGGTGTCGCGCCAGTTATGGCGAAGGCTCCTAGCATTGCGGAAGAAGAAAATGTGTCTGCTCAAGCTGAGCCACCGAAGAAACGAATCAAGATCATCCGGACGAGGTGGCCTGTTACGAATGATCGGAGGGAGACGTGACGAAGGGAAAACTTTGTATTCGTAATTTTATGCGTGAACGGAACAGCGATAGAAATATCGTCCTCGAAGAATCAATTTAATGACGTAGAGTTCGCGTCATCAGTATTAATCTCGACAAAACTAACAAGCCATGATTGCCAGCAAACTGTGGTACTTACTAATAAACAAACAAGTCAAAGACAGATAATAATTATCCCCTTGCCATTGACTCAAACCCTAGATGAGCAATGACGTAATCCGCTTAATGCCGAAATTTCTCAGGTCGTGGTAAGGTAAGGAAACTTCATTGATTGCATTTCATTTCAACAACATTCCACATATCGATGGTCGGACATGAGCATCCTTTGCTCGGTATGGCTTGCACATATCCTGGCTTGCATACGTCCCAAGCTTTCTCATCAGGACCTAACCAATTCTCAAAATTATCGGGTTTGGTGGGAAGTTTGCTCTCCACATCATCCTCTAGTTTGCAGAAACGCAGCCTTTCTCGTCAAAAGCTCCTACTGAATGACGACTGTCACGTTTACCCTTTATCCTATAGATAGGGGAAACGGACGTATGCTATCATTCCAAAAGCCTGTAAACCAGATCCCTTTGCGTGACCTGCGGTCCAATGCTCGAGATGCAGGAGCAGTTCTGGCAACATCCGACACGGTGATCCGTGGATACCTCTAGTACTTGTTCCTCATATGCCGGTTGTTGTGCACGCACGAGCAGTTCCGACTTGTGTATCAGTTATCTGACTCCCCGTGTCCATCTCAACGCGGGGAAGCATCTCAGAAATGCAAAAGTCATCCACATAGTGAATACCTATCTGAAATGAGAATGCTGGACTGTATTGTTGTCAATAGTAAGTGAGAATGCACAACAATAAGACTGCAAAATAATTAAGCTCAGAGTGTTTAACATTTTTAATTGTGCATACTCAATGCCTTTAGTAAATCCAAGGAACTACGTATGAAAACTTGCTAGTACTTTTGGAGCAGAGCAAAATTGTTAGCAACTGTATTAGGTGGATGAACTAGGCTACAGGTTGTAACTTTGCTTATACAATAGGCGACGCCCTGTATGAACACGTAATCCTTATAATCAGTTTAGATGCATAAAGCAAAATTAAAGGTTCTTGTGGGAATAAGAAGTGATGATTAGAATGCAATGGTCAAGTGTACATACATTGCGAAAATGTCTGAATTATTGTATTACCTTATAAACTTATAAATTATATAAATTATCTAAAAAATACAAAAGACCATATATCCAACCTCCCAAAATGAGAAAATTATAAAAAGCTATATAAGACACAAAAGGTATGTATATATTGTCAATATGAATAGGGTTTGTAAGTCTTGACAATATGTAAATAAACTTATATCCAACCTCCTAAAATGAAAAAGTCATTTCATACTTATTACAATTAACAAATATTGTGACTGCTTACAAGACTTACAAGGCATTGTAATAACTTTGATTATTGTTACTCTGCTTACATTCCTTCTTGCTTGAATATTGAATAATAATTAAATTGATTGAAATATATAATACAAATACAACTACGTATTTACCACAGTCCATACATTGTACTCTACCTCATTTTCGTATACAATGGTTGTGGCAAGACAGAATAACGCATTCTTGGGCCGTTTGATATAGTCTTCGTCACTACGCTTTGGTCGTCGCTCGGTCCCTGCAAGTTGAATTACAGTGCGTGCGGGTTGTGAGGTTGGGCGGGTTGTAGAGGCTGAGGTTGCGCTTATGAGATAGATTGTGAGATTGACTAGCTGAGAGTGTGTGCGTGGGCTTTGGTATTGTTGGCGTGAGTGGGTAATTGGACCGAGGAGATGGATGCACCGCGACAGCGTGCAGCGAGTGTGCGCCAGGGTTGAGACCTGGAGCATTGAACGAGCTGATTTGAGCATCAGGCGAAGCAGTGTCTGTACGTGCGCGTTGCATACTCTGACTACGACGAGCAATCAGAGGCACAGTGAATTGAGTAGTTGTTGCGGATTGTAAAGGGTACTTCTGGGACGTTCTGGCTCGAAGGGAGAGGGTGAAGTGGAAGGTGTGGACGGATTCAACTCATCTCGGGTGGGGTAAGTGGCGGGCCACTGCATCCGGTCGATATGGTGTCATCCGCAGCACTGAGGAATGTAAATACAAGCAGGGTGGGCCTGTCAAGAGTGATGTCAAACATGGAATGTATCGAGAAGTAGAACACGTCCAGCGTCAGAGAGAGGGTGGTACAATAGGAGTGGTCGTACATGAACATTGTCGCGAGCGTGTGCTCGTCGATCGTTGCTTGCGCTGTAGAGCGGGAAGAAGTACGCGAATGCATGAAATTTTTGAAGAAGTCGTTCGGCATTGGTCAACAATGCAGATGCGAGAATGCGAATGCAGAAAGGAAGGCGAGCGTAAAAAGGAGGGCAACAAAGGAGAGGCAACGCAACCGGCGGGAGGGATGGAAGACAAAGTTGGGAGGAGAGGAATGAGCAATTATTGTGCAGGTTATTATGAAGTGAACCGGTTGCTTACATTTTACATTGTTGAGACTGGGAGGGTACGGTGTAGTCAGCTGCGCGGGATGGACTCAGCGCAGGCATCGCAACAGTAGGTTGGAGAGACGAGTCCAGCGATGTTTATTGTCTACGTTGTTGAAGGCGGAGTGGCAGCTAGTAGGACGATTGCAAGAGGAGGAAGACTGGAGAGAACAAAAGTGACGACATGGTGGCAGGGCAGAGGGTTAGACTTAGAGAGGTGGTGGAGGTTGAAGAGAAAGAGTGGCACGCATAAGTGCGTCATTATATGCTCTCGATCTTCAGCAGCTGATTACATAAGCGAGTTAAGTATCAGTCACCAACTACAGTTGAAAATGTCTTATTGCATAACGTCGGGAGATGGCTAAACCCAATGCATTATACGATTTATGCATTATGACAATACATTTTGGCTAAGAATCTGAGTTTTGGTCTGGCCAAGAGTCTATGCATTATGATGTGATACAATAAGACATTTTCTACTGTAATAGAACATTTCAAACATTGTATTTAAGTATGAAATAAAATTGTTAATCTACTTTGTGATATAGTGAAAAGTAATATGACATGCATATAGCTTTCTAAACACACTGATATAATTATTACAAGTAGATGAAATATCTTTTACAAATATTACAAACTATTTGTATAGATAATCTAAGTATAATATACTTATTATATACTTATAGCATACTTTTATTGAGATAATAATGACACAACAAGTGTTATTACACTATTATATATGCCTTTGTATTGATTACAAGTCAACAATAATAATTATTATATTATTATATTGTAGATATAACACTTTCTTTAATATTATTATACAAATACAATACAAACATAATACTTTTGCCTGTTATACAAAAGTAGTATAATATTTTTAATAGATTGTATTCATTCATAACACTTATGTAGCCTTTATATACATTAATATGTCTTATACAAACTTTACAATTGATTTGCAAGTATTATAATTCCTTTAAAATGTATATACTATGTTTATAGTACTTTACAAAACCTACAATTCATTATAAGAAATGCAACTTTTTTGCAATGTATTAGCCCATCTCAATTCTAAAAACAAAGGGCAAATATTTATACTCTTAGTACATTAAATAGTGCTTAGAAGGAGAAAATACTAGAGTAAAAACAGTGTTTAGAAATGAGAACTACAAAGTATACTAATCCATCATTCCTACAGACCTTGAAATAAAAAATACAGTGATCATTACTATAAGTAGATAGAACTAAGAAATAATACCATTTCCTACTTAATTTCTGTGTGTCTTACCCTTACTATGTCTCAAGAAATACAAACTGACAGCTCTTAGTCTGAGGGAAATATTGCTAAACATTCCTAGCACTTATCTTATAGTTCTACTCCTACTACCTTTACTTCTCAACTGTTTGATCCAAACTATATACACTCTAGATATAGATATAAACATACTCCTTAAAAACACTCAACACTAGGTTATACATTTACTTACAATAGTTAATCTAGGTACTAGTATACACTCTATACAGCTTAGTTTTACTAGCAAAGTCCTTCAGTAATGCTAGGACATTCTCTAGCAAATTAAGGCACTCCTTTTCAAGCTTCTTAGACACTTAGTACTCTGAATTTTCTTATTAACAATCAAGGTTACTAAATCTTACTAAGAAGAGCTAAAAGGTATATTATAGATAGGGTAGAGGATTTGGACTCTAGTAGTGATCAGACAGAGGCTATTCTAGCACCTAGTATGTAAATTTTAATTACTTTACTGTTTCTATACTAATTACAAGATTTAAACAAAATTTGAAAGGAAAATCTAAGGTAAAGAAAGTAAAGAAGGATAAAATAGTAAAGAAACTGGTAGGGAAGTAAAAAAAAGGTCAGGGGTTAAAATCTAGTATTAATACTTAAGAAGGAGGCAAATCTGATAAGGAAACAGATAGTCTTAATCTAAAGTTAAAAGCTACTACTAATATTAAGACATTTACCTTCTCTATATTAGAGAAAGCTTGTTAGACAAATAATAATAAGATAACTCTCTTGTCTTATGTTATTAATACCTCCTAGTAGCCAGATTTTAAAGTGAAACAAGGGTGATACTTCTAATATGTGAGTGAATTACATTTTCTACATATTACACACTAAGGACCTTATTAATCATCTTACTGTCTCTAGATTTTATAGTATATTCTTACTAATAAGACTACTAAGTAAGTTAGATTATGTATGAATCTTATATAGTCAAAGTTTGTAGCCTGTCAAGCTTGTCAGGAGTACACAGGAGGTAGAGATAGAGATGTATTTGTTAGAAATTGTAAAATACAGTAACTAAGTTTGGAAAAGCTTAACTCAAGACTTGGGACTAAGTAGTTTATATACAAAACCCTATTAGTCACAAGTCTAGAGATTAGCCAGATCAACTAGGCTACCTTTGTTGTCCTACTTAGTAAGAACTCTAGCTCAGCATTATTAACCTCTAATCATTACTAATGGGTGATCAATCTAT